AATAGATCAGATATGAATTTATAAAATTTAAGCAGGCAAATTTGCCTGCTAAAACTGGACGGTTTAAGGGATAATAACAACCATGCTATTCTATCTCTATTGTTATTATATATAAATGAAATTTTAATATGCGCAATATATTATTATTATTATTATTATTATTATTATTATATATATATATATATATATATATAACTAGCTTTATTTTCATTAATTAATGCCTTTTATTTTTTAATTTTTCCTGTTCTTCTTTAAGTTCCAGTTGATTAGCGTATTGAAGTTAACTTGTGGCCGGAAACTTGAAACTAATAGTAATATGATCTAATTCCTTAATACAATTCAGAACTATAGAGTTATAATTGGGGTCTTCTCTTCTCGATTCTGCTTTTAAGAATTTTACATATATTTTAAGACTTTTGGCAATGAAAGTTTCTAATGAATTTACTTCTGGTTGATGATTTTTCAAAGTATCATAATCAAGTATATCAATATGTTTTTTAAGAGGCTTTTCCTATACAGATCTAGTGACGAACCTTTCAATATCATAGTCCGAAGGATTACTATAATTTAATTTAATATAATTAATATTTATTAATTAAATACTATATTGGATTAATTATAAAAGACTAAACCTTTTTTTTCAAATTAACTGATTGGCCAATTTGGCCATATCATTATTAAACATGGTGCGATAATTTTCGAATGCTTGTTGCAATTTATTTAAAATTTCACTCCAATTAGAGTGCGTTTTAGCTATATTGGAGATAATGCAGTTAATTAATGAAGCATGAGTTCTTTTTGTTGGTATTCGAGTTTTTAAAAATAAGATTCTTGATTGCTCTGAGAGTATTTTTGCTATGTTAGGTATATCATTCTGGGGGCCTATTTATTGTATATAAAGTTTATAAATAACAACACAATTTTTAGCAAAATCTAAAATTAACTTTTGCTTTACTATTAATTGGTATATATATAATACATATATTAATATAAATATTAATAATGATACGTATTTAGTAAGAATTGTACTAAAATTATTTATTGTATATAAAAATAATGACTTTAAACAAGTTATTATGATTATTAATCAATTGATTATTAATTGTGTATTATTGTTATTGTATCAAAATTATACTGTTGGTGTTACTCTAATCGAAAAACAAACCTGGTTTGATATAACAGGCGATGACAAACGAATTGCATGCAATGCCTGTAAAACAAGGTCTTTGCGTGTTTCTAACCATCGAAGAAGGTGTGCTTCATCTTGAAAAGAAATTTTATTTTTTGAAGCTGAAGTTGTATAATCTCTATTCTGTTGAATCGTTGTGTAAGAATTAGTATTTTGAATATTTGAAGATATCAAATTATACTGGTTAAGTGAAGAAAAAATTTCATCCTCTGATGATTCATCTTCTGAAAGTTCGTCTTCATAATCTGACAGACGTTTAATAGAACCACTAGGGCGTTGAGAAAAATAGTCAGTTTCAGGCCTATTTGATAGACCTCTTGAAACTCCAGATCTCATATTTATTTGCGATGGCACTTTATGTTGATATTTAGCTGCTGTAAGAGAAGATGTATTCTGATCTTCGATATAAGTTGGTTCTATGTAAGATGTGTGATTTTGTTGATAAGTATATTGGTCAGATTGTAAATTTTGCAGTTGCCTCATCATTCAGATTAATATTTTCTTTTTAAAAATATAATAATATTTATTATAATACAATACGTAGTATTATATAATAACATTATAAGAAAATTATAGAAAATTATAGAAAAGTAATAAAATTATTTGAAATAGTCAAGAAAAAAATTAGTAATTACCTTTACTCTTCACTTGACGTGGTTTTTGTAGCTTTTTAGAAGATGTTGGCAAATCATTTAAAGGCTCGGATGCCTCTGGTTTTGTTTGTAAAACATTGGTTTTTTTTTTTTGTATTTCTTGTTGTTGGTTTGCCTATTAAAGAAATTAAATTGAGCCAACTCAATAATTAATAAAATAAAAAGATCAACGCTTACTGGTTGATGGTCTTTTGGGTGGCATTTTAGTTTTAAGCGAAAAAGGTAAATTTTTAAAATTATTTACATATAAATTATTTATATATTATATGCATTAGATATATCTGACACAAGCATGGATCTAATAAGAGCTCAAGAGTCATTCTTGATTCATAATTATTGCAATCAAAGAACAATGGCATAATAAGAAAATTCTATTAGCTATTTACTGCTATTGTTAATATGTTGATACGTAGATCAAAAATGATACAGTATATGATCGGAAAACAATAGTGTTTCAAGCCCTGATCTGAAACACAGCATATCGATATGACAATATGAGTACGTATGTATGTATAATCAGAGTAATTATTTAATATTGATAGTCTAATGTATTAAGTGATTTTTTATATGTAAATTAGAATATGCGTAATAAAATCAGGTTTTTTCGTTCTTTGCAAAAAATTCAACAAAAAATTTTAAAATTTGGATACTTTTGTGCACAATTTTACAAATTGCAATATTGGAGCGACATATAAGAAAACATAATACATAAAACGTAAAAATAACTATAATTCTTTAGTTTGTGCTATATACCGTATTACACGAAATAGCGCACACCTGCGCGGTATTTTGATCACCTGCGCGGTATTTCGAGTATGCGCATGTGCGCTATTTCGAAATCAACCTAGTTTTTATAAAATTCAGTACTTTGACTAACTATGTAGTGTGTCATTTACTATTTGTTTTTTTGATATTTCTTATTGTAAAATCATATAGATGACATCTAACCATCTTTTTACGGGAAGATAGGTTAGACGTTAGCTATATAATTTTACAATAAGAAATGTCAAAAAACAAATAGTAAATGACGCACTTCATAGTTAGTCAAAGTACCCTGATTTCATAAATTCACCGCAATGAAGAGTTTTGATTCATATTATCCGGCTTATCTGTCAAATATTTGCTATAAAAATTGATGACAAACAGTCAACATTGTAACAAAAGGAGAGATGAGATGGCGCTAAGAATTTTCTCTGTAGTTCAGTACACTTAAAGTTATAGAAATACGTACATTATTTATACAGTATACTATATAAAGTGCGCGCTATTTCGGAACGCACATGGGCGTTATTTTGAAGCCAAGTATACTATTTTAAGGGAATGCAATTTTCGAAATAACGCCCATGTGTGCTATTCTGCGGTAATACGGTAAGTTAAAATAGTGTAACAGGCCAAAGTGAAGTAAATTTCACTGCTAAATCTAGAATTGTACTATGTAGAGGTGGCTGAGGAAGTGTATAGGGAAAGATTGTATATATTATTGTATATAAGAAATTAGAAAACTTTGTATTTGATAGAAGAGAAGTGGATATTATTGATAGAGGCATTAAAGTCTTCAAGTACTATAGAGAGTATATTAAAAGTATAAGCATCTTGTATCTATTAAACAATTGTATTCTGGGTTTGAAGTCTAATCGAACTATTGTTACAAGAAAGATATATTGAGATAATATGAAATTTAAAATCATGTTTAAAAAAAAACAATTAAGATAGCATAGTCTAGAATAGATTTAGTATTATGTATATAAGAGGTTAAAAAGTTATGAATCATAATAAAAACAGTATATAAATTTTTTTTTAAATTTTAACTATATATTTACACAAAAACTCTTTCTGACAATTATTTTTTCCAAATTTTTTCTAAAAACTTTTCTTAATAAATACATTATAACTAGTTGAAAAAGTAATAGTAAGATAAGTCGAGAAACTACAGCACCTGTTATTTAGAGGTAGTTCTCATATACTACCTGCTAACAGGTTTAGAGTTTATTACTCACTGTTGTAACGGAGAGTACTTGTTGTTTAGAAGTAGTTCTCATATGCTACTTGCTGACAAGCTTAGAGTTTATTACTCACTCTTTAACGTTCTTTAAGTACCTGCCCTTCACTTGGTCAACAAGTCTCTAATATACTTTGCAAGAAAAGTATACACACTCCTTTGGTTTGGAACTAGTAGTTTTTTTTTATCTCTACTGCCTCTTGCTAACTTTACTAAAATTTTTAACAAAAAGTAGGCAATCTAGCTTACTCCTTCCAAAAGATCAGCATTGTTTATACTTTCTATTTTCAGATAGACGAAGTAGAACATAAATATGAGATTGTTTTGACAATGATGTAACTATACTACATGACGAACCAATTAGTGCTCTGGTTAATGAACTGACCCGAACCGGATAGTAAAGTCAGAAGAGACTTAACGATAAGGCAAAGCTTTACAATAGAGATATACAAGATTTTTAAATTTAATATATAATTTTTACAACTGTGCCTAGCATAGGCTATAATAGTGTTTTTATAGATTGTTTTTTTTCTGCCTTTTTCTTCTTGTTTCTTCTTTTTTTTTTTTGTTTGTTTTTTTGTTGTTTTGGCAGTTTTTTTTCTTTTCCTTTTTTGTATTGTTTTCTTTATTTTTAGTGTTAGTGTTTTTTTTTCATAAGTCAGTTGGAAACTATGAATCCCTTTGCTTGCGAAGCTTGGGGAAAAAAGTTTAGAAAAGATAGCAGTCTTGATAGGCTGTAAATACTATTCGGTGATATATCAAAGAATTCACTTGCAGGGTTTTTTGATATAGAGATAAACTTTACTATAGCAGATCAAACATGGGTGACTTGGGTACTTTGTTATCGCAATGAGCTAAGTTAGCCGAAACTTGTAATTTAGGTGGTGCTTTAGTTTACTTTAGCAAAAATAAGATTTTACCTATGAGTTAAATATTTTAGCCTAATAAAGTTAAGGCAAGATAGCCGAATCCTTTAAAAAAAAAAAAAAAAATTCATAATAAAGATGCTAGCTTTTAAACTATTTGTACAGGATTGAAAATAAGTATAGTGTAATGTTTTGAGAGATTTTAAGGTAAAACTATTGCTAGCAAGCTTGGTTTTAGTTAGACAAATAATATCAAGATTATTAGAGAGACAGTAATATTCCCAAACTTGCTATTTAAGATTTTTGTTAAACTCTCAAATATTGTGTATACAAATTAAAAGGTTAAGAGAAGAAGAAGAAGAAATGGTTTGTGTATCTGATTTCAAAGAAACATATCTAAACTAGTGAAGTAGTTTTTGAAAAAGAGGAATAAAATAGTTTGTAAGTGAACAAGTTTTATTAGGTAAATAGATATAAGCTTCTTGGTAGTTGTTATCTGTGTTTTTTTTGTTAAGAAAGAAATTTTAATATAATAGGGTAAGTAATATGAAGAGAAATCATTTAAGATATAATGAAGAAAAGATTGAATAGTTTGTAAATATTCAAGTAGAGGTAGTCTGTAATAAAAAAGAAATTTATTATAGCATGTAAGAGGGTTTATAATTCCAAGTAATTCTCTTATTTGAGTAATTGTTTTTATTAAAGAAAGGTAGAGATATCCAAAGTTAGTTAATAGTCAGAAGATATTTTGTTAAAATATTGTTTTATAGTTAAATTATATAAATGTTGTAGTTGTTATATAATTTTTCTTAAACCTGGTATGGGTTATAATAGTGCTTTTTTTTTTTGTTCCAATTGTACTATTTTTTGATAAAAGTAGTTTTTTTTTGTTAGCTTTTGAGCTTTTCTCTTTGTTATTTTTTTTTTATATTGTTATTATTCTTCTTTTGTTTTTCTTTCTTTAAAATTCATTTTGTTTTTTAGTTAGTATTTTATTTTTTTTCATTATAAATAGTTTTGTATAATAAATATAGTTTTTTTCGACCTATTTTGTTTTTTAACCAATCAAATTCATGTTTCAATCAAATTAGTATATTTTGATCTATTGTTTATAACTCATTATCTAGTGGTTCGATTTTGATGAAATTAGTACCATTCAAATCCTCTCTATAAGAGGATTCGAATGGTACTAATTTCATTAAAATCTAATTACTAGATAACGGGTTATCAACGATAGATCAAAATATACTAATTTGATTGAAACACGAATTTGATTGGTATTTAAATGAATTTGATTGGTTAAAAACAAAATAGGTCGAAAAAACCTGTATAAAATTATCATTTTTTTTTGCTTTTAGTAAAGAAAAAAGATATAAAGAGATTAACTTTGATAAGCTGACAAAGTTTACTTAACTTGTATACAGATTGGTATAACAAGTTGCAGTTGGGCATATTTATTACAGCTAGATAATATCAGATTTACAATTAAGAAATAACTTGTTTAGTTTAGAAATAAGTATTAGTTTATATTCAAAATAATTTACCATTATTAATTAAATAAAATTTTGTTATTTGAGCACTTGCAAAACTGTTAAAGCTCTAAAAAAAAAAAATATATTAATACTTTATATAATAGTAGCTTTACTAATCCTTCTGTTTATATTTTAGCTCAAGATATCTCAAGAACTATATCAGCAAATTATATAAACGTAATTTTACGTAAGATATTACGGCCCGTAATATTGCACAAGAATTATGGTCTGGACATAATATTGCGCAATTTATTACATAATATTACGCAATTTATTACGGAGTATTACGCAATTTATTACGG